CCTGGCCCAAGTTTCTAGGTTGGGTCTCAAATGCCCACAAGAAGACAAAATCTTGAGTTTTTTCACCTTGTATAGTTGACTTCAACCTTCATTTCCAACGTGGTTGGAATGCAGGGTTATGATGCTCCCTGAATGGGTCTTGTCTTCCTTCATCGTAAACACTTCCGCTTGTGTGCCCATCCCTGAGCGCCTCACCTGTTCTCTCGAGCTAGACACTCACAGTCTTTAAGATGTGACAGGAGTCCTTTCCTCCAGGCTTTCTTGAAGTTTCTGTCACCAGCGGACCCTTCATCCTGTTCCTTTATATTTTCCCAGTGCTCTGTAGCATTTACTTAGAGAGCAAGGACCAGCTAGCTCTTAATGGTGTCTTGCCTGGGACTGCGGGGACAGTCTGTGCTCAGTTGAAACGGGTTGGCCAAAGTTTCTGTATCATTCTGTATCCCAATCCAAGTTACATTCTATTGTATGATGTGTTCTAACATACAGCATTAATCTTGTGTTCTTCCACCAAAATCATTTTAAGACTTTTGCCTCTGTTTATTAGGCAGGAGTTTAATAAGAAATGCTCCAGGCTCCATTTCAGTGCCCTGAATGTAATTAGATATGTGTTTAAATTTGCTTTGTTTTTTGTTTTGTTTGTTTTACTTAACAGAAAAGCAAAGAGCCAGTGGGTAATAATAATTGCTGTGCAAGCCTGGTCATCTGTGCTCAATAAATTCCCAGAATCCACAGGGGAAGAAGAGAACCCACTCCCCAGTGTTCAATGTTGTCTTCTGATTTCCACACACGCCCCGTGGCACGCATGTATACACCCACACCCACACACAGACCTGGGATCAGTGTTCCAGAAATTTCCTTTGCTGGGCTCTTTCATCAAAGGGAAGAAAACTAAGATTTACTGCTTGCCCGTTTATATCTAGTACTGTTTAATTTGTTATCGTTTAATCTTCTTAGAAAATCAGTGCACAAGTACAGCTTCAAGTTAGAGAGCTGAATGAATAATATCCCCGCTACTGGGCATTTCTCTTAGAGTGTAGTTGCATATTCCTGCCACCAGAGGGAAAGGTGGGCTTCATAAGGGAGAAAGCTTGATGAACTGAAAAAGCCTTAGGTGCATCCCGCTGTAGTTGCTCTGATATGGTAGATATAGAGGGAAGGCAAGCAAAGAGAAGGAGACACAGAATGTGGGATTTATTCAAATGACTAAAAATGGAACTAACTGTGCCTGAGACCAACTGTGCCATTATAAATCTCATTAAAGGTATTTTTCAACCTATGGATATTATTGTCAATGTAATTGCCTTATGATAGGCACGTTCCAGAAATGAATTGTTGCTGAAGACATATTTGCCCACAAAACATATCCGTGCTTGCAATAGTAATTTATTTTACGTTACAGTATAGGCATTGCTGGCCTTCTATGCATGGGCTACCCTCAAGAGGCTCAGCTAGTAGAAGCTGGGGAAATGAACGAAAACCATCGCTACTCACAAGCTACAAGGGAATGGAGATGTTGGAGCCCAAAGGACCCACTATTGAGAAAAGGGGAAGTTTATGGAAAATATTGCTAAGAGCAGAGGACAGTAGTGACTTTCAGGAAAGGAGGAACAAGGAGTCGGCAGAAGAGGCTGGGAGGCAGTTCAAGGTGGAACAGTATAAAGGCTGGGATGTCTGCTGTTTTATCTGGCCCACTAACCACAGGGGAGTGGCAGAGAACCTGTGGTAGAACACAGGCTAAAGGTGTTATCGAGGGCAGAGCTGGGGTTCTTTTTTCTCTCTCTTATGGGGAGATTGTTTTTGAGTTTTGCTTTCAAGAAAGATTTTTGTCTTTGCTGGGCGGTGGTGGTGCACACCTTTAATCCCAGAACTCAGGAGGCAGAGGCAGGCGGATCTATGTGAGTTTGAGGCCAGCTTGGTCTATAGAGCGAGTTCTAGGACAGCCTTTAAAGCTACAGAGAAACACTGTCGAGAGAGAGAGAGAGAGAGATTGATTTGTCTTGCTATGTAACACAGACTGGCCTTGAGTTGGTAATCCTACTTCACCATGATAAATGCTGAGATGACAGACATGCACCATGCCTGGTTAAGGCCAGAGTTCTGTTTGTTTGTTTTGAGTGTGTGTGTGTTTTCTGAGACAGGATTTCTTTGTGTAGCCTTGACTGTCCTGGAACTTGCTCTGTACACCAGGCTGGCCTCCAATTCAAGAGATCTGCCTCTGCCTCCCAAGTGCTGGGATTAAAGACATGTGCCACCATCACCTGGTTAAGGCTAGAGTTTTTAAGGTCTTGTCATCTAGGCCTCTATTTTGAGCTTATCCTGAAAACACTGGAGAACTATGATAAGTTGTGTGATATTTTTATTATGTTCTGACAAAGTTTGCTTGGAGTCAGAGGACGGGGCCAGCCACTAGCTGACTGTAGAGGATTAGAGGAGAGTAGAGAGAGGAGACAGGAAGTAGTAGGGTGGGGCTGAGAGAGGATCTCAGCCCTTTTGGATGGAGGAACTGAAGAGGTATAAGAAGCAATTGGTGGCTGCTCCCTGTTCTTTCAGGTTCTTACCCCAATTTGTCTTTTGCTTTTGTATTGATTAAGATTAATTAGATTAACACTTAAAGTTGTAATCTTTCAAGTTTAATTCATAACTAGAGTTGGGAGTGCTGGCTTATACCTGTAATCCGAGCACTTAGGAGTCTAAAAAATGCAGTTACTGTTAAGGCTAGGCTGCAATTCTTTTTTAAAAGAGAATTGTATGATATTTAATTTAATTTTATGTGTGTGGGGGGTGTAGGTGTACATGAGTGCAGATATCCATGTCCAGAAGAAGATACTGGATTTCTCAGTGCTGGGGTCATGGACATTTGTGAGCTTCCTAATGTGGGTACTGAGAACCAAATTCAGGTCCTCTTCAAAATCAGCAAATGCTTTTAAGCTGAGCCACCTTTCCACCCTCAAGAGAAATCTAATACACCATTAACAAGGGAAGTAAGGTGGCTGAAGCTGTAGTTGTCGATGTAAACACATGGAGAGAGCTTAACAGCGTTTAAGAGAATTATGAGCCAATATTTGTAGGGATATGGTCTCATGGTATTGTAACCCAGCTGGCCTTGACCTGCAGTCTTCCTGATTCAGCCTCCTAAGTGCCAGGATTACAAAGCATGCATCCCTGTGCCGCCTTATTGCAATTGTGTTTATACTTGCACATGTGAATATTTCTCCAAGAGCCATGGGTTCAGTTTCTACTAGACCTGCAATAAACAACTTAAGCAATGGTTCTAAATGAAGAGGGTAAGAACACAAAGCATTAAAGGACATATGGAGGGGTAGAGCAGAATGAGATACCAAAGAATGACTAAGTGTTCTTCATGGGGTCCAGGATACAGACACTGTGTGCAGATGGTTAGAACAGTTAACTCACTCACTCTGCTCAGTGTGGATGAGGTTGAGAACAAAATACCCAAGCTGCTGCAAAAGGACTAGAAACTGACCGTAGCCCTTTTAGAAGACTTGAATACCTCCTGGCAGAGACTGCAGGAAAGGTACATAAAGTGATCATACCAAGTGCCTTGCTGCCAGACATGGCAGCATTATGCCTATAATCCTGGCAGTGAGGAAGCCAAAGCAGGATCACCAGTGTGGACCACATGGCGAGGACCTGTTTCAAACAAACTAATGTTTAAATGTGTTCCAGTTAGAAACTTCACTAAGTTCTCTGCCATCATAGGGTGTTTTTGTCTCTTTTATGATGTGAAATGAAGCTTAAGCATCTCTTGCTCAGACCAACCAGATTTGGGCCTTCTGATTTTGATGTTGCACTGTGAGAGCGGAGGGGTCTTGAAGCAGTCTAATCCTCCTGTTGTCTTCACTAGTGGAGAAACTGAGCTCCCAAAGGAAAAGCACTGAGCCTTGTCAAACGATGTGGGATTCCTCTCTGTATGCTGTGAATATGTTTTATTACCATTGGTTAATAAAGAAGCTACTTTGACCTATGGCAGGGCAGAATAAAGCCAGGCAGGAAATCCAAACAGAGATATAGAGAGCCGGCAGAGTCAAAGAGACGCCATGTAGCTGCCAAAGGAGAAAAATGCCTACTGATAGGCCACAGCCTTGTGGTGATACATAGATTGATTGAAATGGGTTAATTTAAGATATAAGAGCTAGTTAGAAATATGCCTGGGACATAGGCCAAAAAGTATTGTAATTAATATAGTTTGTGTGATTATTCAAGTCTGGGTGGCTGGAAACAAATGCGCAGCCTCCATTTACAGTCAATGATTGGATACTTCTGTGCAGTTGGGAAAAACTGAGTGACTCATTCTCCAAATGTAATTTATTTATTGAGATAACTGTTACGAGAAGCACATATATATTCATATATATATTTATACATTTATTAGGGGATGCTATGGGGAAAACAGGCTCAAGGATATAGGACAAGGTATGATCTGTTGCAAAGTCCTTCTGTTCTGCCCAAGGGAGCCAGGAGCCAGCTACACACACTGCTTCAAGCAGCCTAAAAGAGGTCTTCACAACCCAAGAGAGCATGCAACTTGTCTCTTTCCTTTGAAGAGATCACATCTGCAGACAAAAAGCCACGCCCTAAGGCCAGTACCCCAAAGCTATTGGCAGAATGAATTACTACAACAACCTTGATCTTTCTATCAACCTGCCCCTGCCTCTATCTCCTTAAGTGCTGGGGAAGCAAGCTTGCATCACCATAACAAAGATAGCACTTTCAAATTCACTGGTACCTGGGACTAGAGAGATGGTTCAGATGGTTAAGAGCATTGGCTGCTCTTCCAAAGAACCAAGGTTCAATGCCCAGCAACCATTTTAAGTCTGATGCCCCCATCTGGCCTCTGTGGGCAGTGCATGTTTATAGCACAAATATATAATGCTGGTAACATCCCAAAACATAAAAGTTAAAATTTTTTAAATCAAATTCACCAGTATCTAAATGTTTCAGTCAGAACCCCCGGCACCAAAATAATTTAGACACAGTAATATTTTATTACAGTGATAATTTATTAACAAAAGAAATGGCACTTGAGATCTCAAACATGTAGCCCTTACAAAATGATTAACAACCCCTCCTTCCAACAAGAAATACCTTATTTTTGTTCTGAAGGATGGTTGAGCAATGATATATGAATAACAACATCAAGGCACTTACTTGAATTAAAAAAGCCTACTATAAAGTATGACCCTAATGGTAAAGGATGGTGACAGCTAAACATTTTTGGGTAAAAACTGAGAATTCAGGTGCATTCAGCTGTCTCCATTTGTCTGCACAGGTAAACATGTACAAAGCGGGAAAGTAGGCTGTTCTGGTAATAGTCACACTCACGTCTGAGAAGCAGAAGCCATGATAGCATCGGGAGTACTCCAATTTCCCAAATGAACTGCGCTGAAGAGGAAAGAGCTGTTTGATTCTGTTTCCTCCTGAAGATGAGGCACAGAGTGCAGGATAAGTTTATTCAAGTGTCAAATGGAAACCCTTTGTGACCAGCAGCTTCAACAGACTTAGAAGCAGTGTCTCCAATCCAAAGCTTTGATGCCCTCACTGCCCAGTCTGCAGTCTTCAATACATTATTTTAAATTAAGTCATAAGGTACAAAACACATACTAAAAAGATCAACTAGTGTATTGCTTGACTTTTTAATTGTATTTAACAGGTTTACTTTAAAATTTCATTTGCAAAATACTTATAGTAAAAAAATAGTTCTTACCATGATGAAAATTTCTGTATTAAAAATGTTCCCTTCTACATCAAAGCCTCCATTTTTAAGTTACCATTTTAAAAGCCTTACATTTTTACTTTTAACTCAAAGTGATTCATCTGTATTCTAATTTATGATATCGTCTATAAAAAGCCAGCTGCTGTACTGTTTATCCTGTCCCATTGTAATTTTCATGCTTAAACTTAGCCCCCAAATTTACTGTCATCCATGAATATCTAAAATTTTAGAGAAAAGGATTGGAGGACAAAAAGTCTCCGATGCTAGCTAGTTTTCCTTTTTCTTTTTTTGGCAAGGTCTCACCAATAATTTCAGGCTGGCCTCAAAGATACAATCCTCCTGCCTCAGCCTCCAAGTGCCTCATAGGCCACCATGCCCACAGAGTCTAGCAGCTTTCTGAGTAGCATTTCGTCCATTCTGCAATTTAATTTAAAGCGAACTTCAAATTAAGGATCGCTGGGATTAAGAAGAGATTCCAAGAGGGGACGAACAAAAAGATCAAAAGACTGGGTAAAAATATAAAGCTTCTCAACTCGAGAATTCCACTTTTCTATAGACTCTTTCCTGAACACACTGCGGGGCGAGCACTGCCTCCTGCTCCAGCCTCAGCAGAATCTCAGCTCAGGCACTCTCCACAGAGCATCTCCAAGTCCCATCTAGGACACCTGCCTCCCAGATATTTGGGGATATCTGAAGAAGCATTTACTTCCATACAGAGAACCCTCAGCTCATCTCTGTCATTACCTACAAGAAAAGCTTCAGTAAGGATATTAATAGGGGCTTCAGAGCCCGAATCCAAACCCACTTCATTCCTCTTTGTACTTTGCAAAGTGGGGTTAACACTGGCAATGTGTTCTCCAATGTCGCACTGCCAGGAACAGCCTGCAGACGACTGCTGTTTGTGCTAGAATGTAGCCAGGAGCATTAGTCTAATGGATCATCTAGCATCTCCACGCAGTCTCCAAGTCCACAATTTGCTGTGCTGGAAGCTTTTATATAAATTATATCTGTTCCATTGACCCTGCTTAAAATTAACTAGGCGCCTGCCAGTCTTACCCTGTCTAAGGCACAGACAGCACTGCAGCCACTCAGCTCACCGGGAAGGCTACTCCTGAGCAGGCTACTCCTGAGCAGGCCCGCCCAGACTCTGGCTACAACCTGAGAATATGCTTCTTAGCTCTTTGGGGCTTTGGTGAGCCTGTGCCTCTCCCCTTCTAGAAACAGAACTGCTTTCTAACTTTGCTCTTAGAGGTATGCTTCTGAATCCTGATCCAAAATGTGGGGTTTACCAGGACATAGACCCTGTCTAGCCAGGTCTCTTCCTTTCTAGACAGATAGTTTTCAGTGATCTACTCTTTTACTCCCCTGAGCTGTGTTCTCTGTGTAGCAAGTCTGCGTATGCACTAGCTACTCCATCTCTATGCACCTGTCACTCCAGCACTTGGAGGAGGAGGGAGGAGAACCAAAAGCTCACAATCACCCCAGCTATTTAGCATGTTTGAGGTCAGCCTGTGCTACATAAGGCCTTCTCATAAAATACAAATAGACACACGTACATTCTGTATTTCAATTAAGTGACAGCCATTTAACAACATTCAGGGTTTTATATCTCTGTTATACTCTAATGTTCTGAGTGAACAAGACAACTTATATGAATGGTTTAAAGCATCAAAAAGCAAATGAAAATTTTTTTTATTGTTGCTGCTGCTGGTAAATTAGACTTTGGTTCTAGATTTGATTCCTTCAATTATTAGCAATCAAATCAATTTTAATGCTTGATGTTAGGAAGATCTCAACCCAAAGATGGCTACAACAGATTCTAGGGCAATCATGTTTTTAAAATGGCTATTAAAAGCAGGATCCTGTTTGCTTTTGTGGGACAAACACAAACCAGAACATCACTCAATAATTTGCTAATGCATATGTAAGGCTCCAGAATCTATTAGAGCCACACTATAAACTCACATGCAGGCAAAGGACAGACACTTTCTAAACACTGAACTAAATTCCTTTTTTATGCTGGTGCTGAATGGATTGTAGAGTCAGATTAAACATATGCTTTAAAAAATGTGTGTGTGTTCCCCACAGGGGTTAGGTGAAGATGAAATCCCCCTGGAGCTGGAGTTACAGGTGACTGTGAGCAGCCTAATGTGGGAACTGAACTTGGGTCCTCTGCAAGAGTAACAAGTACTTTTAACTACTGAGCATCTCTCCAGCTGCCACTAACATGTACCTACTAGTCTCTCACTGAGAATTAAACATCTGTAACACTCTTAATTCCAACCTGGCTTGAAGAAAGAGCAAGAGGGATTTTTAAAAAGTGACTAGGATACTGTGATCTTACAATTGTTCATAAAGCTAGAGAGCCAAGCGAAAGAACAAGCAAGCGGCTGTTAACACTTCTGAATTCCTAGGGGAGCGTTCACAAGGGACATCAAACACCACAACAATGTGGTCTTTATCAGCACAAACACCTCTAAGATAGAAACTCAAAACTTCTATTGGGAAAACAGAAAGGTATTTCTCACATGAGCAAACGGGAGTGTAACGGCAACAGAAAAACAACAGAAGCAGTTTTTGGAGTGTGTGTGTGTGTGTGTGTGTGTGTGTGTGTGTGTGTGTGTAATGTTTAAAAGCATTCTACCTCAATACATTAGTTATATAGAGTTTGCTTCTCCTAAATATTTTAAATTGTTTTGCATATTAGAACAGGCTAAAATACGATTTTGTACTTTGGCAATTGTGACTTTGATGACGTGGGTAGTAAGTGCTTTAATCGCACAAAGGTTAGTCCTGTATGCCTTGCTTGGGTGAACTATTTTTCTCACCTGTCAAAATATTTTTCTGAAGAAACTACTCAATTCCTAACCTGTGGCCACCAAGAATGAAACACCAGTAAAACTAAGATTCTGTGAAAGTTCCAAGTCCTTCTGCATGCAGCTACTGCCACTTACGAAAGACTACCAATGCCCAGCTAATACACCACAGTGTGGTGGACTATTGTTGGTGGTGGCATTTCCTAAGGGGAACCGCCATTCTTTTTTTTTTTTTTCAATCTCTCCTTGACTATTTACTAAGTCCATTTACAGTGCTGCAAGAACTTGCTGAGACAATATTCTGCTTTGTCTGTCTGACAAGACTGCCACTGATTCTGAAATACCAACTTAAGACAGAGTTCAGGAGAAAGCACCAGGCTAAGTCAAAGAGGAAACAGCTTACGGTAAAGACAGATTCTCAGAAACAAAGATGGAGCTGAAGAACAAAGACTCCCACTGTCTCTCTCACTTTGAACTCTTTCCTTACCTACTTATTCTAAATAAAAAGGCATGACTAAAACATCAGTGTTTACAGTAGAGGTCTGTACAGTGTCAGGCTGGCTGTCAGGACCAGCTTCTCGTAGGAGACTATGCCACACTTCCTGTGTGAAGGAGAGGAGAAATGCGATTTCCCACTACCAGCCAGAGATCTTACACAGAGAAAGACAGTGAGAACGGAACTCGTCTAGGGAGGACCAGTGGCGCTGTCTTTCTTCCCTGCTCCGCAGAGCCATGTGAAGGCTCGAGTGTGTGTAAAGCAAACCCCAACTTCAGCTCTCTGCCTCCTGGAGGACAGAGTTCAGATGTACAGTCCCTAAAGCAAGGTGACCAAGTTTGGGGGCTGCTTTATAGTTCCATCCCATTTATATTGTCCCCCAAGAATGATTATCTGCATCAAAGTCTGAAGCCACAGCATTTTCTTCTTTTTGATTCTGCCCAACTCTAAGCTCTACCACACGTGAGAATATCAAAAGGCTATTAGCTTCAAAGGGGAACTATTTCAAGTGTGTACCACTTCTCCTTTCACGGTAGAAAATGTTGCATGTTGAAACGGGCAAGACACTCTTCTTCCTTTTATTTACTTTCTCAGTCACCAGAAAGACTCAGACCATTGAGAGCAGGCGACCCTTTCTGCTTCTGAGAGTCCACTGCAAAAGCCACTGCTTCAGACAGACTATAGAAGAGAAGACTTTCTTCTTCCTCTTTGCAGTACTCTCCTCTGGTCAAGGAATCCCTCACAGAAGGATTGCACTGAGCCAGTAAAACCTGGATGCCAACGGCTTCATAATCCCTGCGAACTTCTTTCAGCGTGTGGATCCCCGCGGTGTCTAGAAACTGAATCGCACTGCAGTCAATCACGATCGTGTGCAGCTCCAAGGGGTCGTGGGAGAGCTGCACCGAGACTTCATCTTGGACCCCACTGAAAATCACTGATTCCTCCTTGAGTTTCTTCTTTGCTGCCTTCTTCCAAGCTGCCTTTACCAAGACTGGGTTTAGAGTTTTCTTGTACAAAGCTGACTTAAAAGATTCTTTGTTTATGTAGTAGAGAGGGGATATGAAGCGGAAAATCTTGACGCCTGACTTGGTCTGAAGGTTCTTGTACTCAGAAATGGATTCAAAGGTTTCAGACTCTTCTTCCAAACCAAGCAGCGAAGCTTTTGGCTTCTGAGTACGGAGGATTACACAAAACATAGAAAAACAAACCCCAACAAGCAGGCCTATTTCGGTGCTTAACAGAGCGGAGGACAGCATAGTAACAAACCAGATAACCGTATCCATTCTGCTCACCTTCCACATCCTGGGCAGGTCTCTAAATTTAAGAAGGGCACCCCGGAGATTTACAATAGTGATGACACCAAGGACACATTTTTGAAGGGAGTAGAATAAAGGAGCTATTACCAGAAGGACCAACAAAAGAACAAGGGCTGTCACGATTGCTGACAGCTGGGACTGGCAGCCTGTTGATTCTTTAACCAATGTCTTCGCAAGAGCAGCACTAGTAGTTATGCAGTGGAAGAAGGAAGGGATGATATTGCAAAAGCCAATGGCGTACATTTCTTGATTTGCTTTGACCGTGTAGCCATGTTTCTTGGCAAACATCTCAGAAAGAGATACAGTGGTAGCAAAACCAATGATAGAAATAGCTATTGCATCTACAGCCACATTAGGAATCAGGCTCCAGTCTGGTGCTTGGGGCGGCATAAACCCAGTGGGAATATGTCCAGAAATACTGGAATTGTAATTCTCATTTAGTTTTCCAAAATGAGAAGCTAATGTGGCTGCCACGACGACAATGAGTTCGGTTGGAATTGGTGCCTTGAGCTTGGCCTTGAAGCGTTCATTGAGTTCTTTGCTTGGCAAAAGGACCAGGAGGCACAACAGGCTGGTGATGAGATCACAGATATTGGTCTTAGGGATGTTTTTAAAGATATTGATCCAGGTAGTGATGACCGAGCCTACACCACTGCTCCGAGGAAGCTTCAGCCCGAGGAGGTACTTGGCCTGAGATGTGAGAACGGTGAGAGAGGCACCAGTGACAAACCCACTCAGCAAGGCATCTGAGAGGTAGACAGAGATAAAGCCCACTTGAAAGAAGCCCATCGCTACCTGGAAGAGAGCATATGCAAGCATTAAACAGAGATGGGAACGAGCGCCTCCTACCACCCTGGCCCTCCTCTACTGTGACGAACCAGAGGACCAGAAAGTGTCAGAGCTAAAAGAAACACAACCATACACGACTTTTCTTTCATGTCACAAGGCAGGGAAGGAAGGCCTAAAGCCACACTCACTAGCCTCCCTATAATGAGGACTTGGGGTTTCACCTTATCCAATAATTTGAAGCTGGGACATAGTTCAGATTGCTTTCAAGGTTCCAAACAAATGTATACAAACTCAAATTGGAGAAATTCTTCTACTTAAGAAAACATTTTCTCCAAATTAAAAAGTATTATCATAAAATGGAAGGTTTCTAATTTTTATTTTTGGAGGCAAGGTCTCATGGTCCCAAGATAGCCTTGAACTTTGATGACCCCAAACTCCTGATCTTCCTGCCTCTCCCTCCCAAATGCTAGGATTACAGGCATGTACCACTATACAAATGAAAGTAAAATTTTAGCTGCTAGAAAAATTAAGTTCACATTAAAACTGAATCATGCTCTGTCATGCCTCTGAACTAGCAATACTACTCTAGTCCGCAAAATTCTACTACCCCTCCTCACCTTGGTGAGATATACTAAGAGAACCAACATGGGCTCTAGGCAAGACAACCATCACCTCCTTCCTTCTGTTTCTCCCACCTCATCCATACCAACGAAAGCCAACTATTCTTCCTGGCTCCAAAGCCTACATACAGAACAGGTCTAATGCTAAAAGGCAGGGGCATAATTGTATCAATAGATTATCAGGTTCCATAGGAGACTTGAGAGGATTCTACTTTGTAATCATTTCTCTTGGCTAGTTCAAATAGTGGCCCTCAAGATTTTCTCTCCCTCTTCATCAATCCAAGATAACTACTAAATTTAGTAGAAGTCTCTTACTAGAGTAGCTATTCTTTTATTTTCTTTTTAAATTGAGCTATACAGAGTAGTTATTCTTAAGGAAGAGGGGAGCTGGCAGTAATCTGAATGACTCTGGCATCCCACTTCCCCCTTCCCCATCCCTCCCCCATCTATCCCTTTTGTCTGACTACTCATGGTAATTTTGCTAATAATCAGCCACACATGATATTAAGCAAACCCAGTGTTTCTAACATAGAAAGTTAAAAATTGTACTAGTTGGTCTGAGGACCCGTTCTGGTCTATATTTTTTTTAATTGAAAAAATATCTGATTGTTGGTCGCTGCCTAGGAACAGGCAGGAAAGCCAGCCCTATTTTACCAGTGCGGTTTGCCTTTGGGTTCTACTATTCGTATCTTCAGCACTCAGTAAATGGTAGGTTTTTTTTACAACCCTAACAGTCCCCCACACCAGAGATTTGTGTATATTGATTACTTTTGCCAGAAATAACCAATTGTTAAGTCTCTCCCTCATTCTTTGTCCTTCCCTGGTGTCTGAGTGTGTCACCATGGAGTCCTGGAACTTGCTATGAAATCAGGCTTGCCTCAAATACAGAGATACTCCTGCCCCTGCCCCCTGAGTGCTAGGCTACCACACCCAGCCATTTCTCACCTGATAAACTCCAGCTATGAAGGTCACAGTGGTGCCAATTTTAATTGCATAACAACTTTTGGTACAAAGTCCATCTAATGTTTGGTTTACTGACACACATCCATTTGAAGTCACTGCAAATGAAGACGATGTATCAGCAATGTCAGGGCAGGCTTTATGTAGTTCTCGGTCAACTACCTCACCAATCATAAGGCACAGTATTCCAAAAATGCCCACAGAGATGTGGCGAGAGGTACCAAACACGCAATAAATGATGCTGGCAAAAAATGATGTATACAGACCATAGATAGGCTTCTGGCCAGCCAACAGGGAGTAAGCAATAGACTGGGGCACCAAAAGTATGCCCACAATCAGTCCAGACATCACATCGCCTAAAATGTTTTTCTTAAGATTATATTTTGGGAGCCACCGCAAAATAGGAATGAAATCAAAAACCATATTTTTGACTTTGGCTGGGCTACACTGGCAGCTCTTCTGCAGCTTTCTGATGACAACTTTTTTGATGTTGATATCTGGCTTTTCCTGAGGTTCCATGTGAATCCTACAATAAGGTCTGCGTCGATCATTGGTCTCAAACTGCTTGAAGTCAGTGCTTGATTCCCTTTGAGCCTCCAGTGGGACCTCAGATGGAAGACTGAAGGCTTCTTCAGGTAAGTCTCTCGGTGGAAAGTCATGTTGCTCTTTATTTTCTGAAGACATTTTTGGAGTCAGATGGTTTACTTCCTACCCCAGAGAAAATATATACGTTAACTTATAAACTAGTTCTCAGTGCTCACATATATTAGCAGTCCTACTAATCCATTTGGGGGGTTAAAGAATTCCATTTGGGGTAGGCTTTTTCTTTTGAGGCAGGGTTTCACTATATAGTGTTAGCTGACCTGGAACTTGTTATGCAGAGCAAGCTAGCTAAAATTCAGAGATCACTTGCCTCCTTCATACTGGAATTAAAAGCATGGGCTATCATGTCCAGCCTGGGGGTAAATATCTCAAATATCTTCTCCTTTACTGAGCCTCATCTGTCCTGGCCCGAGAGAGGTCAGGGAGAAAGGCCAGAAGTAGACTATAAACAGAAAGTCACTGGGTTGGTTCAAAACTTCTCAAGAACACTAAATATTTTCCTTTGTATCTTCCTGGATTCCCTGAAGATTTTTCTCAAAAAATATTATCAGGGCAGCCTTTCTCCTTTCCATATGCTACCAAGGTCTTCACAGGCTGGGTACAGAAGTAATGTTTCCCAGAATTTTCACTTGGCAGATGCACAAGTGACCCTACCTAGATCTTTGGGCCCTAAACTCCAAATCTAGTGCCAAAGGATCTACCACTATAAAATAGACGAAAACAAAGCAAAATGAAAAGATGAAAATACCAACAACAAAAAGACAACAAAAGATCTTACAGCAATAGGAAAAGAACCAGGTTTCTGAAGGAGCATCGTGAATTGTCAATGACTATACCACAAATTAGTTCCACATCAACTGTGAGCTTAGCTTAGTATGGTAGTTTTAATATAACTGGTCCCCATAATCTCATAGGAGTGGCACTATTAGGAGTTTTGGCTTTGTTGGATTATGATCTTATTGAAGGAAGTGTGTACTGTGGGGGCAGGTTTGGGAGGCTTCCTATGCTCTGGGTACTGCCTAGTGTCTCAGTTGACTTCCAGTTGCCTTCTGATCAGATTTAACCTGCACCATGTCTGCTGCACTCTGCCATGCTCCCTACCATGATGATAATGCCTCTGAAATTGTAAGCGAGCCAACCCAATCAAATGTTTCCCTTGTAAGAGTTGCCGTCATAGTCATGGTATATCTTCACAACAACAGTAATAAAAGAAATCTTCACAATAAAAAATAAAACAATAAAAACACCAACTAAGACAGAAGTTGGTACCAGGGACTGGAGTATTGTTATGATAGGCCTGATCATGTTTTTGTTTGGAGGAATTTGGACTTTGGGACTTTGGGTTAGGAAAACAGTGCTTTAAGCACTGCTTAATGGGCCATCCTAGTGAAGCATGGAAGACAGTGGTGTTCAAATAACTGTGGGGATCAAGATATTTCAGAGGAAAGAATGTTAGTATGTGCCCTAGAGACTGGTCTTATAATATTTTGATGAAGAATGAGGCTGCTTTTTGCCCTTGTCCAAAGAGTCTACCTAAAGCTAAAGGGAACAATTTTAGATTAATTCCCTTGGCAGTGGAAATCTCAAAACAGCTTAGCATAGACTCTGCCATGTGGTAATTAGTGCTAACTCTAACGAAGATTTATAATGAAAAAAAGCAAGCTGAATAAGGAAAAATACAAAATGTAAAATTTGAGGAGAAAAAGGACCAGCAAGTGGAATGGAGCTAAATCCTGTGTTCAAGGAGATAAACAGATTAAGAAATGGAATACAGGGAGTGATGACTTCAGGGCAAGATCCTACCAGCTAAGAAAAGCTTAGAGCTGGGTGGTGTAGTGCTGTCATGTCTTTAATTCTAGCACTTGGGAGGCAGAGGCAGGTGGATCTTCAAGGCCAGCCTGGTCTACAAAGCAAGTCCCAGGACAGCTGGCAATGCTACACAGAGAAATCCTGTCTCAAGCAACAACAATAACAACAATCCCCCCCAATACACACTCTGTCAAGAACTTAACAATTTTGTAAAATCCAGCTGAAATGCTATTGCTACTAACAGCAGCAAACAATCCTTTTAGCTCAAATTAATCAGTCTCCCTCTGGGTCCTGTGGCAGTCTGTATCTGTTAATCAAGCAGGACCCTATGAAGCTCCTGCAGGAAAGGTATGCCATTCTGTCCATCAATGTGGTCACCACCAAGTGTAACACTGAGATTGCAGGTTTACTGACACATTCAAATCAATCAAAGAATACGTTGTGACCATGCCCAAATAGAGGAAAATGGGTGAAGGACTTGGGAAGTTTTGAATTGACAGAAGGAAAAGGGACCTTTGTCAGGTTCTAAAGACCTGTCATTACCAAGATGATATAATTGAAGAGCCCATACCCTATTCAAGAACACAAGATACATAAAACTTACCCATATTTGCTTAACTTAGGTTGAACAAGAGAAAAGCAATAATTATTCTGATGGTCTTTAGGAAGTAAAGAAGGAGAAAAAATCAGATTTAGAAGATTACTGACCCTGAGCAAGTCAAATGGTTAGTGAGCTGGTCTCATGCGGTGTCTGTCTTCTCACTTCCTGTTTTCCTGAGCTTGATCGAGTGATTTTCTGTCTGGGGCAGTCTTTGGTCAAAGTGCTTTTCTAACCCTAAGATAAGACAAAGAAATGTTAGAACACTACTACTACTAATAATAATAACAACCAGACCCAAATGTCACCTCTATGTCTATTACAGAGAAGGAAAATAAAAACAAATAAAAAAAATCTAAGAAACACAAACTAAGAATCAAATAGAAGTGATAAAAATGAGAAAGCCAATAGAATGGATGAATTCCTTTGATCAGGTTGCCAGTAAATTTGACAGAATCAAAGAAAAAAAAATCAATGGACTCAACTTGAAAGATAGCTCAACAGAATTTACCCAAACTTAAAACAATTTAACAAAATAAAAAAAAAGTTGACTATAACAGAATATCCAAGAGTGACACATCAAATTATTTAAACACAGAATTAAAGTATCTAGAGGAAGATAGAGAATGGGCAGAGGAAATATCTCAATGTTTAATGGCCAAGAATTGTTGAACATTCATGAACACTGAAGGAGCGGTCCGAGAACCCCGAGACAACCCAGAAGGACAAACCCAGCACTTATCTATCACTCTTGCTCAGAGGACACTTAAAAGACAGACATACACCACTTACACAGGGACAGAGACAGGATTACAGTACATGTCCTGGAATCGATGGAATTGATGGAACCAGGAAATGATTTCTTGAAAGCAGTAACTTTTAACCCAGAAATCCACACTCAGGAAGAAAAATCCTTTAAAAGATGAAGACAACTGAATTTATTGCCAGCAGATCAGCGTGTGCCCACACATGCAGGAACTCATGTGCTTGACACCCCCTCCCCATAGGGAGATTTTAAAATTAAAAAGATCTATTAGAATGGTGTTCAACTTTAAATATACCAATTTTGGAAAATTTTTTTTTAATTTAACCATTACATAGTAGCTTTGACTGGAACGTTCCTTGTTATGGAGACCAGGCTGACCTCAAACTCATAGAGATCCACTTGCTTTTGCTTCACAAGTGCTGGCATTAAAGGTGTATACCACCATGCCCAGCTTTAATTTTTATTTCATCTCATGTACATGTGTTTTGTGTGCATGTATACTGTGTATCACTTGCCTGAGTAGTTCAGAAGACATCATTGCATCCCCTGAATCTGGGATTACAGAAGCTTGTAAGTCATTATGTGGATGGTGAGAACTAAATTTAAATCCTCTGGAAGAGCAATCAATGCTCCTAACTTCTAGGCTCTCTCTTTTAGACATGAGAATCAAATCCTGATAGTTGTTCTTTTAGAACAAAAAATGACACTATATGATGTGGGATTTCTCTCTGTATGCTGTGAATATCACTGGTTAATAAAGGAACTGCTTTGAGCCTATATCAGAGTTATAGGGGAACAGAGTTAGGCAGGGAAAACTAAACTGAATGATGGAAGAAAGGAGGCGGAGTCAGAGAGAAGCCATGTAGCCCTGCTGAAGACAGATGCTGGAACATTGCTGGTAGGCCATGAGCCTCATGGTAAAATATCAAATAATGGAGATGGGTTAATTCTAGATGTAAGAGCTAGCTACCAATACACCTAAGTAATTGGCCAAACAGTGTTTTAAACAATATAGTTTCTGTGTGATTATTTCGGGGCTAAGTGGCCAGGAACCAATGAGTGGTTCTTTCTTCTTCCAACAAATTGGCACCAATGTGGTGGACTAAAATCCACTTAAAGCCTGAGAGAGTTTGGGACAGAATTCTAGGAAAAACAAAACAAAACAAAACAAACAAACAAACAAAACAAACAAACAAACAAAAAAACAGAGTTAAGCAAGGCTTTAATATTGCAGTTCCTTTAAGAGAGGTTTTCCTGACTCAGCGGTAGTAGGAAAAAAGCCACAGCCACTGTGAAATGCTGGCTTTCTGGGCCGTGCTGCCAGCGCGACCTCTGGCTCTTTTAGGAGACTGAATATTTGGATGGGGTTTGTGAGCAACATGCTATGGCTTGCTTGATGGCTGTCTGCCTGGAAGTGGGGAGGTGTGCATGGCTCTCAGAAGCAGTAAGCAGCTCTGCCATGTTGGAATGGGCAAGGGAGCTGAAAGTACCATATACTCTAGCAATGTCGCAGCTTAGATTCTTAAGTGCTTAGCATTTTAAGAAGTGCTACTGGTCAGAAAATAATTACAGATATGCAACAAAGACAAATCCAGATTTAAAAAAAAAAAGACCTCTAAATGGATCACAGTGTTGGATAAATATACGTAGGCTTGGAAGAGAGAAGAAAAAAAAGTATGAGTTGGAAAAGAAGTAAATCGTTTAAAAAAACCAAGTCTTTAAAGAGACAGTACAGACAGTCATAAATTAAAGGAGTAAAGATATTAAATATTTAATTATTGTTAAATATTACTATTTAAATATTAAAAAGTAAAATATTAAAAAGTAACAGAATAAAAAATAAGCCACATAAAGACAGAAAATACACACAGAGTCTGGATTATGAGTATTATTATGTTTTCTTTAAAATTTTTGACTGCAAAGGAGATAGGTACAGAGAGAAATTTCATTGTATGGGCTGCTAAGCTAAACCTACATATATATTTTTATAGGTATCTTGATTCCAGAATTTGGGTCTAAGGATATGTTTCTTTGGAAAAGAGGTTCTTTTGTTTCCACAGAGGATGAGAACCTGTGGAATCATTCCAGACTAATAAGGCTTGATGGACCAAGATCCCCTGAAAGGTCACCTTGAACACCCAAAAAACTGAACACTCAAAAAATTGCTTCATCCAATAAACATCAGGAAGCAGTTTGGAGAAAAATCATGCCCATATTCCCAAATATTGTTTATAAATGTTTCTTTATATTTAAAGGGGGATATGCTATAGAGATTTGCATTTGTATGGATATTGCTCTATTGATACAAGTTTTAGGTCAATTTCGTTATATGTATATTTCTGTTCTTGATTAAGGTATTATGCTTGTGCAGCTCATTTAAAATGTATATTTAAGAAATATAGGTTAATAGATAATCATCTATAATAGTCAAGATTGTAGTTATGTTACTTAGGTTTTCTAGATATATAGAGATATATTTCAGCTAGTTAGGTATTCTTCAAATCTTTCAGAGACATTCAGAATATGGTATTTAAATATTTTAAGAACTTAAGACTTTTCATGACAATGAGGCACATCTGCTCCTGGTAGCACCAAACTTCTTCAAGAGGAAGATGGGCATCAAAAAGGCTCTTTAAGGCGTTTGCCAGCCATTTGGGCAAGAAACTGTTCTTGCCTGGACTGCTTGATGAACTAAACATGAAGGACCCACAGAGAGATGACTGCTGAATTTTCCTAAAGGTGAGACCATCCTTTGGGGTTTCTGCTTCATAAAAGACTCTACTAGACATACTGCAGGACACACAAGAAAGTGACTGAAAACTGCCAATATTGTTGGAACTGTCTTTGAAATTTCCTGCTTCGTGGAAAAGTCTGCTGAATACTATGGGTCTGTAGGCTGAAGATGGATGCCCCAATGGTACAGAAGAACTTTGAGTGACTGTCCAGGCAGCAAGATGTCTCTGTCCTTTCTAGAGTTTTGGAAGTTGCTTACAATGTACTTCCTGTTTACTTAGGTCATATTATATTCTTCTGGAGTCTTTGATGGAGTTGAAGAATTTATAGTTATAGTTTTCCTTAGTTATGATAAAAGATAAAGTAGATATAAATATTGTAACTGTAATTCTTGCTTGATACCTGTTTTGTATATGTAATTCTACTATGTTAAAGTTAAAAACCTTTTTATTTAGACAGAAAAGAGGAGGTAATGTAGGATTCCCCTCTGTATGCTGTGAATATCATTGGTTAATAAAGGAACTGCTTTGGACCTATAGCAGAGCTATAGGGGAACAGAGCTAGGTGGGAAAACTAAACTAAATGCTGGGAGAAAGAAGGTCGAGTCAGAGAGAAGCCATGTAGCCCTGCTGAAGACAGATGTTGGAGCATTGCCGGTAGGCCATGCGCCTCATAGTAAAATATAAAATAATGGAGATGGGTTAATTCTAGATGTAAGAGCTAGATACCAATATATTTAAGTAATTGGCTAAGCAGTGTTTTAAATAATATAGTTTCTGTGTGATTATTTTGGGGCTAAGCGGCCAGGAACCAACAAGTGGTCTTCTTCCAACAGCTATAAAGCTGCAACCCTTCGACTGTGTAGGCTAGCGGTAGGAGCTACAGTACTGATCCAATGGTCTAAAGGTACTTGCAAAGAAAACCATTGATGAAGGTGAGAAAGAGAAGCTAGAAGAGATTCACAGTGACCCAGATTCTTTGAGTACTCAGGCCTAGTTTCGTGAAGCATCTTAAAACGTCCTTTATATGGTCACTTGGTTTCCTCTCAAAGACAACACGTTTCTACTTTTTTTTCCCTCAAAGTATAAAGACCACGAGGTTCTGAGCTCTCCCTTTGCACACTGAGAAGTGATGCAGCTCAAGCATTACAGCACTGGCCACACATGATTAACCAAATCCTGGATGATTCAGGAGGACACAAAGTACAGGGCATAGAAAGAACAGAAATAATGCCATTTTTGTTAGACCTAAGACTCAGATACTCACGATGGCTTCTTTACATTTCCATGTTGATATATTTATAAAATGCTTTTGGTTTGTCGAGACAGGGTTTCTCTGTGTTGCCCTGACTGTCTTGGAACTCGCTCTGTAGACCAGGCTGACCTTGAACTCACAGAGATCTGCTGCCTCTGCCTCCTGAGTTCTGGGATTAAAGGCGTGCTCTACCTTGCCAGGCAGGAATCATAAATTCTTAACCTAAGAGCAGGAAAAAAAAAAGACCCTCAAAACTTTGAAACTGAGAAAGGGCTTTCAAGATGCAGTGTTTAACTAAACATAAAATAACACTAAATATAAATATCTAAACATATATAAATGTATAAAATGTAAAATATGAACCCTTCCTGCCAACCTTTAATCATCATTGTTCACAAAAGCATAGCCACGGTGGAAATAACTCAGTTATCCACCAATACATGCAAAGGTAAACAGAATGTGGTATAGTCTTGTATTGGATTAAGCTACTAAAAATGCTTAAAGGTCTAATATTTTTCATTGCAATGTGGATGAAGAATTTTTAAAAATACTTTAAAAGATATGTGTGTGTTTGTGGGGAGTGTGTGCACTCAAGGGCAGATGCTCACAGAGGCCAGAAGAGTCTATATGACTCCCTGGAACTGGAGTTATAGGTGGTTGCAGCTCACAACCTGCCTAACATGATGCTGGGAACTAAGCTTTTCTGCAAGAGTAGGATGTGCTCTTAACCACTGAGATATCCTGTGAGCCCCCTTGGTGAAGAATTTGTAAACCATATGGTAACTGAATAGCACAGAAAGACTATTATCCCTATTGTCATGTCCAAATATAGTGACTGGCATTTGATCTCCAGAACCTTCGCCCATATGCACCCTCTCTCAAAATAATTCTTTTTGTTTTTTAGTTTTCACAGGAAATTTTAATGAAAAAGTATGTGAAATACCTGTATGACTACATAGCACCAATGTGATAATAGTTCAGGTTTTTGTTACGTTCACAGGCTGTAGATATGCACACCTTCAACACTTCACTGACCCTAGATCTAAATTTTATCAATTTATTTGTTTTTGAGACAGGGTCTCAGTATGTAGCTCTGGCTGGCCTGGGACTTGCTATGTAGAGCACGCAGGACTCCAACTCTCAGAGATCCACCTGCCTTTGCCTCCCAAATGCTGGGACTATGGCACTACACACAGCTACGACCCTCCATTTCATGACCACTGTGTGATCTGCTTCTCTGGAAGAGACAGTCTTTTAACAATATGAGGTCAACAATTTGGATACGTTTCTCCAAATTCTGCCAAGGCTTCTGTCTACTACTAAATGTCTTCCCTCTAAGAGCAAATCCAATGGCCTCTATTTTGTTTTCCCAGAGCATCCATGTTCCAATCAGCAGTCCACAAATACTAATTAGCCATTGCTGGGTTGCAACCTTTTCCTGATATATCCATTTATTTTCTTTGGGAGGGGAGTGAGTGGAGTAGGGATTTGAACCCAGGGCCTCATACATACTGAGCACGTGCCCTACACAAGACACACCTTGAAGACAGCATCCTCAAAAATGGTGTGGAGAACTGAGTCTCCACATGCCAGAGAATGAAATTAGATCTATATCTGTCATGTTGCACAAAACCTGAGACCAAACGATTGAAGACCTCAATGTGAAACCTGAAATACTGAACCTGCTAGAAGGAAATACAGGCAGTAGCCTACAGATGTAAGTGTTGCCCTTGGTTGCATCCCAGAAAGTGGAGGTTAAGTCCCTATTGCTGCAGACACTGTGTCCTTCAGACCTAGGACCCAGGGGATCCATGCAAGCTTCCAAAGGAGGGAAACCAGTCCTACCCAGCTGTGAGGCCTGTGACCCACAACCACAATCAGTACAGCACACTCTCCTTAAAAGTGCAATAATGGCACTTATATCTTGGTGGTAACCAACAGTCGTCTAATTGGACTCAAGGCCTGCTGGCAGGGGGAATGTATGCCTGATACTGCACCCTAGCTAACTACCTAGGGCTAGTAAAGTCATGAATCTCAGAGCAGCATCTCCTTGCCAGTTTACTAATCCCACATACTTCCTAACTTCATTCTAAACACTTATCCTTATGTCCAGAGAAGTGTGGCTGTCGCCCCTCACCAAAGGGAACATTGTGGAAGAGGGGGCAGAAGGACCGTAAGAGCCAGGGCACTAACAAGTCTGCTGTGTGACTGTCTCATAGACATGATGGAGAACCCAATACCTCAACAAACAAGAGCCGACAAAGAACAACAGGGAGCTAAGGAATGCCAAGGGAAGGAGAATTAGTCTACCCAGGGATGAGCCTCCAAATTGGTTATCCAATACCAAATGGCCAGCCATGAAATCATATATATGCAAGTAACACTAAACAAACTGAGTACATTGTGTTTATACATTTATAGATCTATGTAACAATAACGGTTAAAGAAAAAGAGGGCAAAAGTTTGAGAGGAAGTAAAGGGGGCGTTCAAAGGTTTGAAGGGAAGAAATCAAAGGGAGAAAATGATGCAGTTATATTTTAGTTAGGAATTAAAATAAATTTATAGTCACATGTGTATGTATATATGTACATACATACTATACTGTACATGCCTTTTTAAACATTATTGTATGTGTACATGTGCAGGCACATGAGTATGTGGGCTGGGGGACAACTTTGTGGAATCAGCTCTCACTTTCTACCTCCTTCTACCTTTACATGAGTTCTGGGGGTTGAAGTCACTAATCAGACTTATGCAGTAATTGCCTGTACCACTAAACGATCTTGATGACCCTCTACTTTATTTTCTGAAATGGGCTCTCACTGACCGCAAAGCTCACAGTGCTAACTAGGCTGGTGGGCCAGTGGGCTCCTGAGATCCTCCCGTTTCTGCCTCCAATGACACTTGCAGTGGTCACAGTTAACTATGACATGGGTCTTGGGGATTTGAACTATGGTCCACCTGCATGCATAACCAGCCCTCTTACTCACTGAGCCATCGTCTCAGCCCTCCATTTGTTTTATATTATATGCACGCACCATTAAAATTCTTGCATTTTCCAGTAGGAACAACAGTATAAAATTTATCTCTGTGTTATAATCTGGTTAACATGATAGCATCCCAGATGAGTTCAACCAACCAAGATCTCGCTTTTTCCATAGTTTTGTTTGTTCGTTTGTTTTCTTCTAGCTGGAATGCCCTTCCTCAATTAAATTCACACCTCGTTTTTTTTTTTATTTCTCTCAAATGTCACCTTACCAAGCAGTTTCTTACTAAACACAGTATGTAAATTAGCACCCCGCCATCTCCAGCTCTGCCTCTTGGAGCCACCCCCTTCTCTTTGGCTTGATGTTTTCCCCCATATATATTGACTTAAAAATTCATTCTAACTATGTGTATGCACACATGTGCATGCATGCACAAGTGTATGTGAGCGTGAGTGAGGATGCCCTAGGAGTCCAGAAATGGGTATCAGACCCTTATCAGTTACAAGTGGTTGTGTGGTACCCATCAGGCCCTGGGAACCTAACTCAGGTCCCCTATGGGAGCAGTACATCCTCTTAAGCACTGAGCTGCCTTTCCAGCCTTTCCAGCTATACTTATGTTAAACTGTAATCTCAGATTGTTTGTCTAACACCTAGTAGTGTTTGACAAGTATTTGTAAAGTGGATGAATGATGGTTATAGAGCTTTGCCGGGAAGAAAGGGGAGTTACTTCCTTTATTCTCACCCAACTCACCAAGTGCGTGCACCTCTTTGTACAAGATACTATAACCAAGACTGTATCAACATTCTATATAGTTCGTTAAGCATCTACTTGGGTTTTTCGCTCACTCAAAGTTTATACTATCGACTTTTCAATCTTACCCTAGAATACAATTTGGAGATCTCCAAAGCCCTGCATATGGTCACCTCTCGCTTTTCCTCTAGGAGGCAGCACAGCACGGTACTACACGGTGATTTTCTGCATAGACTGCCGATAAAAATGCAGATTCTTGGGCCTGCCCCTGCACATCCTAGGAAACAGAAGCCTCTGTATTCTGGGTGACGCGGAGCTAATGAGTCTGGGACCAAAGCTGGCAAATCAATAGGAGAGATCGGATAACCATTGGATCCCAGCCACTGTTCAACAGCTTTATGGTACTGGATAAAACCTACTCGGCATCAATTCCTGACCTGTAGAATGGAGAGATTACCAGTACTTCACACAAGTGAAGATCTCAGAATAGTACAGTACAAGTGAAGATCTCAGAATAGTACAGTACACAGGTCAGAAGTATTATGCAATACATGATAGTTATTAGCCCATGTCTCCGGCAATTCTTAAATGACCTTTCTTTTTTTTTTTTTTTTACTGATCTAATTTTCAAAAACAAGAATTTCTTTTATATCCAACACAGTATATCACACTGGTTCTGGATGCCCCATAAAGAATCATGGGGTTAGGGCCACGAGCATAGCTGAGAAGCACACTTGGGGGAAGCCTCAGGTTCAATCCCCAGCAACCCTATAACCAAAAAGAACCGTGAGGCAAAGAGGAAGAAAACTAACACTAGTATAGTGTCAGAAAGAGAACTTAGACTGTGGATGCTTCTAAATCACTGGTGAACCCAAAGTTATGAAAGAAAAGGACGCAGCCTGACGCTGCACATGGAGTAAAGGCGGGGTTCACTTACTAGCTCTCCCAGAGACTTGCCAGGTCGTTTTAGATGACTTCTTAGTGTGTCTGTCCACCTAAGCACTGAAAGAATCCCAACTCTAGTCTAGAGTTTAAAAGGATTTCTGTACTGAGTTTTGTACCTAACCAGGAGTGGAAGGTGGAGATGGCTCCTCCGTCCATCCCGGACGGATACCAGCCTACTGCAGGTATGCCAGGTGCGAGGAGTGCAGTACCTGTCCCATTTGACTGCGGACGCCCCGCTGGCAGCGGCGCTCCCCTCCCGTCTCCGGTCCTCACCTTAAGGCTTCGGGCTGCCGAGCCCGGGCTTCCGAGGCGCGTCTTCCCGTAAGACTGGGCTGCGGAGATGCTGCCGCGCGGGTGTAGGCGGCACGGCCGCTTGCGAGCCTCCTTTTAATTCCCGGGTCGCCGTCCCCGCCCATTACCCGGCCCCGAGGAGGCGGCCCCCCACCACTGCCACCGGTGGAAAGGTGCGGAAGGAGCCCAGCGAGCCCAGCGGCGTGGCAGTCACGTGGCTTGGCGGCGCGACTGCTAGCCAATCACCCCGACCGGTCGGCGATCGCCCCGCCCCTCGGTCGCTCGCTTTCTCGCGATTGGCTGTTCTGGACCCTCTGCCACGCGTCAAAGGTCTGTGAGTTATCTGGGGATCCCGCCGTCTACTCCCTGGGCTCCAGCCGGGATTCCGCTAGCAGCCTGCAGAAGATCCCGGGGCTCGCAGGAACCCTCCCCAAGCCCAAGCTCGTCTCCGAAGGCTTCAAATGGCCACAGGCTCTTGCCCCAGGACTTTTTCCGTTCTCTGTAGAGCCCAGTAACCAGAAGGTGCTTTTAAAGGGTGTCAATGGAAAAGTAAAGATAGATATGAAATTTCACCCCAACTGTTATTTGACACCTTCCTGGCTTTTCATGAGCATTAGGGAGAAAAATCAAATGGTCTCTGTGCTGGCACGACCACCATTGTTCATTTCTGCTACACAAAGGAGAGATCCTCAGAGCTTGAGAAAATATTGCATTATGATTTTTCTCCTTTTAAAATAATTAATGCTTCAAAAGTTTTTTCTTTATTACATCTATTTGTGGGGGTGAGGTAGAGGGTTCCATGTGTGGGTGTCTAATTGGTTCTCTCCCCCCTTCTGCCATGTGGTCCTGTAGGTCCTGGAATCAAATTCAGTGATCAGGCTTCACAGCAAGCACTTAACTGGGGTGGTGCTGGTGGTTTCGCTTTGAGACAAGGTCTCTGCAGAACAAGCTGTTCTTCAATTTGTAGTAATCTTGCTTCAGCTCTCCAAATGCCGTGATTAAAGGCGTAAACCACACACCTGGCTGTGATTCTCTTTGTATAGTGAGGAAATATGACTCAAACAGGTGAGTTACTGTGGGCTACAGGCAATAAGTGACAGGATGTGTTTAACCCTGTCACACCTGAGTGCAAAGCCCCCCCCCCCCTCTCTCTCTCTCCTCCCTCCCTCCCTCTTTTTGATTTTTGAGACAAAATTTCTTTGTGTAGCCCCGGCTGTCCTAGAACTCACTCTGTAGAACAGGCTGTCCTTTAACTCACAGAGATCTGTCTGCCCCTGCCCACTGAATGCTGGGATTAAAGATGTGTGCCTCCACTGCCTGGTAAAGCCTACTTTCTTGAATCACATTAGTGAATAAGAACCTCCATTTCCTCTTTTCCCTGAACATGACATAAATCTATAAAGGTTAGACAAATTCAGTAAAGACAATTGTCTGTCTTCTTTTCTTTCTTTTTTCAAATTTCAGTCTGTATCAACCTTTGTTACAGATGAAGAAACTGAGAATCATGGTCTTCATCAATGGTGCGGGAGAATTATCTGTATTCTGTCAATCATGTATTTTAATAAAACGCTGATTGGCCAGGCAGGAAGTATAGGTGGGTCAACCAGACAGGAAGTAGAGGCCGAGTAATGAGAATAGGGTAAGGCTAGGGAGGAGAAAGGTTCCTCTGCGATTCCTGTCCAGACCACCGAAGAGGCAACATGTAAGCTGTCACACTGAGAAAGGTACTGAGCCCATGTGGCTAACGTAGATAAGAATAATGGGGTAACATAAGTTATAAGAGTTAACAAGAAGCCTGACCTAATGGGCCAATCAGCTTTATAACTTATAGAGATCTCTGTGTGGTTGATTTTCCTTTGGGACTTGCCAGCTGTGGAGCACTGGGCGGGACAGATACCCCAACAAGCCGGCCCTCATGTTACACATCAAGGTATTATTTGTCAGGATGATGCCACCAAGAAGTAGTGGTGACACAGTGTTGGGACCAATTGGGTTCCTGGCCTTCAGCTGCTCTTCCCTGCTAGAGCCTTCTAACTGAAGTGACTAAAAGCTGTGCTTTGCCTAGAGGATCAGAGGATGGGATTTTCACCTGTTGGCCATTGACTGCTGGGTATTTAAGCCTCCAAGGTGCTATTAAAGAAGGGCTTTGTACCAGTGATTGGAGGTCCGTGTGTCTGGCTGTCTCTGTGTGTGTTTCCTCAACCTCCAACCCCTTGCCCAAAGCTCGCAAACTGAATTGTAGCGCATAGAGCGCAGACTGGGGCGCAGTGCGCAGCAACACAGAAATGAATTTTTGAAATGGAAGCTATCAGATGCCCAAACCTAGGGACTCTCAGCTATGTCCAATGCCAGGGAAGGTACCAGAGAGAAGCCCTAGGCTTGCTCTCCCATTTCGCCATTCCTCACTGCCGCTTCCTGTTGAATCTCCCTACTCAAAACATTCTGTGGAACTGGACTTTGGTCTTCCCCTTGCTGGTGGTTGCTGTGGTTCTGAACAATAGCAGGTTGGGGGAAGATAACCAGTTTCCTGACTGCAGCTGAACTGCCTGGTAATCGATTTTAAAAATGGGTTAGCAGGCTGGCTATACAGCCCCTAGATCTCTTTAACCTGCCTAAGCCAAAGTGAGCATTTTCCCTTTTGCTGGTCTCCAGTTCATGGGAGCTGGAGCAGCAGCCTGAGAGCCAGACACATTAGCCATTATTCTGTCCTAGACATCTCCATCAGAGAGTAACATGATGTATCTTAGCCAGGGGCATTGTGAGCAAGCAAAGAATCATTTGGGTTAAGGACCACATCAGGATTCCTCTCTCAGCCCTTTCTAGCCACACATTCTTCCCCAGAGGAACAGGCTACTGGCTCTAAAGCCCACTGATGTTGGGCAGACCCGCTACTTAACGACATATTCCTAGTCGTCTATATTTACTTTTTGGGAAAAAGAAACAGTTTCATTGCTTTTAAAAATAAGTGGCACAGAGTCAAGCTAAATTCAAACGATTAGTGGGAATCTGAGGATGTAGTTCAGTAGATAGCATGTGCTTAGGATGTATAAAGCCCTGGGGTCATTCCCCGCCAAACCAACTGATCTAAGGGTTTCCAGTGAAGAGTAAGTGTCTCTCACATTCTTTCTTACCAATCCAGTTTTGCCCCCTTCTGGAGACACCCTCGACAGCTGCTTCCTCTGTGGCCTTCCATGTTCACTTTACCTCACCAGTTCTCAGTGGAGACTATACATTAGACTCTGTTGGGGCAACTTTTAAAAGACAAAGTAGAGATTTAATTGATGAGTGGTTATTTTTTTCTTTTTGGTGTTGGGCATCTAAGCCAGGGTACTGGGTTACACCTATATCCCTATTCTGCCAGGATTATTTATATAACACAGGTATTTTTTTCCTCCACCCCCTCACCTCTAATCCCTAGAAGGGCTGTGGCCTTTCAGGACCACTCAGGGCTATTGGATATAGGGTAGAAAGCAACTTTCTCAGTCTCAAGAAAGCAGTCATTCCCATGGCTAGTCTTGGAAGGAAATTGCTATTAAGTGAAAAAAAAAAAAAACAGCTGTCTAGTCAAAATCCAAGACCTTTAAAATTAAAGAAACTTCTCTAAGATGGAGACAAGAATTAGGCTTTGAGTGAATAGTTTTGGGGTTTTCCTTCACTGGAGAGGTAGCTGAGTCTCTTACGCAGTGGCTGTTGGTGCCCCAGGGAAGGGGCGCCTGTGTCATGAAGGTCACGTACAGCAAGGCTCCTGAGCTCCATCTGAGAGAAGACTCAGTGCATTTGGGGGCCATGTCATCTCGAATGAGAGACATGCATGTGGTAGCCAAGTATAGTCATAGCCAGAAGGCTCTTACGGGCCTAGCCAAGCAGATTTTCACAAGATCGGATGTTAGGCTAGTGGTTATAACAATTGGGATTGAATATCTTTCCAGCACTGTGGGGTGGGTACTTGGAACATGTAAACTTTGATTTGGAGACAGAAGAGAAATGTGATTCTCACACCCAGTGTGAAGGAGCACACATCCCTTGTTATAAATATTTAGGTAAAGAAAGTAGGCAGTCACAAGGCACAGTGTCCAGATTGCTTTCAAGAACACAGGCTAAGAACTGTGGGAAATGGACACTCAAAATGAAATGTGATCTTGGCAATAAAATATTGACTTTTGCAGTATTTGTTTAAACTCTGATGGATAGCCAAGACAAGGTCTTAAAGATTAGAAATGTACTTGTTCTCTTTCTGGTCAAGAGTTTGGTTAAGAAAATAAGAAAGCGATCAAGCAAATAAACAGACATTTAAGTATACAAGTGTTCATTAAAAACAAGGGCTGGAGAGGTGCTAAGCGATTGAGTACTGACTGCTCTTTCATAGGACCTGGATTTGGTTCCCAGCACCCACATGTTGGCTTACAACCATCTGTAATTCCAGTTCGAGGGAATCTCATGTCCTCTTCTGACCTCCAAGAGCACCTGTCATGCATGTGATGCACATGCATACAGGCAAAACACTCATGCACATAAAATGAAAAATCTACGAAACATCAACAAAAAGTAGGGTATGGTGGCACATTCCCATAACCCCAGCACTTGAATGGTAGTAGAGACATGGGGATAGTGAATTTGAGGTCAGCCTAAACTACATAATAAAACCCTATGTAAGATAAAGACACTGTGATGCTAAGTTTTAAGTATCAACTTCACATGAAGTAGATCATCTAACAGTCATGGCTTTGGCTATGTCTGTGAAATATTTTCTTAATTAAATGTATTGAGTTGAGGAGATCTGCCCATTGTAGATGATATCCTTCCCTAGGCAGATTCTAGACTGTGTAACTGAGCTGAACAAGCAGGCATGCATTAATTTATTGCTCTCTGCGCTCTTGGCTGTAGACACATGGGAGTAGCTGTGTTAAGTTTTCTTCTCCTTGGTCCCCATAACGATAGACTGTAGCTTGGACTTGTGAGTGAAATAAACTCTTTCTCCTTTAAGTCATTTCTGTCAGGATTTCCATCACGGCAACAGAAAATGAAACTAAGACGCTTATCAACAAAACACACACACGAAATGAAGCAGCCCAAATAACCACTGAAAATATGTCAACTAAATTATGATGCAACCACCCAGTGAAAGTCAATGACGCCATTAAAAATCATCTGCTAAAAAATATCTCATGGTACAGGAATATATGTACATATTTAT